TTTTTTGGTAACTCAAACTCTACAAAACTCAATTAAAATAAATCAATTCAGAATGATAACAATTTCATTGCACTATAGAATTCAATTTAAATAAATCAATTCAAAATGACAACAATTTCACTGCGCTATGGAACACAATTATAACAAATCAATTCAACATGACATACTTGACGCGTATGAGGAATGGTGAATGAACATTTTGGTTCAAAAGAATAATCATTATAGCTTATTAAAAACAAAAAAACTAATCATCCAGCCAGAAATGAAAGACCAACCATAAACACACATAGAAAAAAGCAACACAACCACAATCACAATATTTCTAACGCTGATCAGTTACCTGTAACAAAATAACTCCAACACTTGAATTCGAATTTAAAAGAAATCAACTAAAAGAAATCATAACAGAAAAGCTCATTCAAAATATTTACGAGAAACAAAAAAACCAATAATTATGAATTGAGATAAATTAAACATAAAAAATTTTCTAACATAACTCTTCTTGATAAAAGCACCAGTGTCTTCCCCAAGTTACCTGCAATAATCAAACTAAATACCATCAATTATCACATTCACACTTGAACAAATTTTCCGTGATCAAAATACGCAATTCCTCATAGAAGGCTAAAAAAAAAAAAAAAAACATTTAAAAAAAGTTACCACTAAAAAAATGTAACACTTAAGAAAATCTAAACGATCTAAATTGACTATTGTCGACAAAAGCTAAGAGACAAAACAAACTATTGTATTAAAACTAAAACGATAGGACACCTAGCCAAGGTTCCTCACCTTTATAAGTATGAAGGTGTACTGTAGATAACCGGTTTATTCCCTTCAAACAAATTTGCCTTCAGCTGTAATGGAGTATCATAGAACTAAATAGGAAAAGAAATATAAAGTCTTGCACTTCCTTTTACTAATTTTTTTTTTTTTTATCAGCAAATAAAAGTTTTTATTGATGAAAAAGCAACCAACTCGCAAAGATACATCAACAAAACGGGGAAGTGCACTAAGCATCATAGCTAAACTCTACAATCCCAATTAGGTTGGCACCGTAAAGGCAGCACAATCATTTGCTAGTACTTGACCTAAGATTGGTGAGCAGCCAATCAAGAGAAACCAAAAGAAAAAGAAGAATAAAACAACAATACTGCAAAAACAAAACAACAATAGAACTCAGCAGCAAAGCTCAAGGGCAATCCTCATAGTATCTGCACACACCAACAACTCTCCAGTACAAAGATTTGCACCAAGCAGCAGCAAACAGATTTGCAACCTGAGAATAAATTTACAACCTTCCCCTGTACCGACCACTAGCAGACAGATTTGCAAAGTCAAAACAGTAGCATTTTTAGCGCTAGACAGATTTGCAACCTCAGAAACAACATCATACAACAGCAGACCTCCTAAATAATTCACTCCCCATATCATTTGTCTACAACCTTAGCATACAACAGCAATTCTAGCTTTCAACAGCCCCACCATCTCTCATGGAAACAATAAAATAACTAATCAAAACCTGCATGCTGCTGTCCAAAATAGAACAAATAGATAGAACAAATCTCAGTCCAGTTGTTGTCCTTTTACGTAATGTTAAAAAAAAGGGCAATGCTTACAAATGCCTTCAAGAATTACCAAATGCATCCATCACTACAATCTGTGAATTAGTATTATAAAAGATTGGTTCAATTCCTTCGACTTCCCTGATCTGAATAACCTTTATACTTTGTTCACATAAAGCCACATAAGAAATGACATAATTAAGCATGTTAAATAAATAGGCATTGGAAAAAAAGTTAATTGAAAAAAAATTATTGACTACATCATGCATGATTTCATTAGATAGTGATGAGACTGCTTAAATATTTAAAATCTAAGACTCTACACAATCATTAATAATACATTATCCCTTGTTTCTCACTTAATCTCATTAAAAGAAATAAGCTTAGAAATTACGAACGTATTTAAACTAATAAAAAAAATCCATGAGATCCATGGCCATCAAATCCACCATTTTGTTGTGCCCTTGGGTCAATATTCACTTATCCAGCTATTCATTGGAAGAAAAATCCCGAATATGCAAACCAAAAAAAAAAAAAAAAATCTTGCATGCAGGAACAAATTTGACATCTCACTAAATTTAAATTCTTTGTTTTTTATGAACATAACAAATCTAGTAGTCCATGGAAAAACTAATATTACACCTATTTCTACATTCCTAAGTATATATCAATGTTAGAATTAAGAAAAGACCACAATGTTGCATTAAATTATTAAAACATGAGGAGTTTTTGACATAATTAGAAGAATAACAATAGAAACTTGACACAACACATCCTACCGGTAACATCAAATAAAAGTTTAACAACAATACTAATAGTATGAAGCATCAAGTGCTTTGTAGTATTGAAACATACTAATATTTTAATTGTTAAATAAATAAAGATGCTTCAAGAACCATACCAGTTGATAAGAACTTTAATAAAAAACCATCTTGGGACTAAAAAACACTACGATGTCAACACTTTAAATTCTTTATTTTTGATGGGCACGACAAATCTAGTAGTCAATGGCAAAATTGATATTACACCTATTACTACATTCCTAAGTATGTATCTGTGTCGGAATTAAGAAAAGACGACAAAGTTGCATTTAGAATTTGAACATGAGGAGCTTTCAACATAATTTTTTTCTTCATAAATAAGCAGACTTTGTTAAAAAGTATCAAGATGATGCAAAGAATACAAAAATTCAGCCCCCAAAGGGATAACAAATCTAAGAAATCAAATCATTCACAAAATCTACAAAAGCCAAAACATCTAGATCAACTAAACTCGTAACCCAAGGGCTATTTTGGAAAATGGCTTATGAGCTATCTTATTGACTTATTGGTTTATTTAAGTCACATCATCTTTCTACGTTCTGTACATTTTTTTTCATAATAAGCCAAAAAAATTATAAGCCACATATAAACTTGACAAAACACAACATATAGGTAAAATTAAATAAAAGTTTAACAACAATACTAATATTATGAAGCATCAAGTGTTTTGTAGTCTTGAATCATACTAATTATTTAATTTTTAAATAAAAAAATAAAAAATAAAAATGCTTCAAGAACCATACTAGTTGATAAGAATTTTATTCAAGAATTATCATGGGACTAAAAAAAATTGCAATGTCAACGGTTTGAAGGTTGTTGAACCTCTTTTAAAAAAAAAAAAATTTAAAAATATACTTTTGTGACAAAATAAAAAACTCAGTATCTCACCAAAAAAGAAAAAATAAGAAAGAAAGAAAAATAAACATTTCTGTGAGAAAAAGACATTACCAAAAAAAAAGAATATATCAAAATAATCCAGCGAATGACCCATGCCTAAAGGCACTCCCCAACCAAAATGAAGTGTAAATTGTCAACATCTGATATGTCCTTAAACTCACTGTTAGCCTCACACTCCATTTTTAATCCTCAAACATTCAGGCTCTGTTTGGTGTAGCTCTGGAACTAACATTCCAGAGTTTATTTTGCACATGATGTTTGTTTAGGAGTTTCAAATCAAAATTCCACACTCACTTTTGAAAACTCGGTCGAAGGCAGGAAAATTTGGGCTAACCGGTCGTCCCACCAGTTGTCCGGCCGGTTGACCTGAATAGTGCAAATATATATATATATATATATATATTTGCAATTGACATATGTTAATTTTTATTTATTAAAAAAAAATAATTTCTGAATTTTTTAAAAAATTTTATGAGCTTTAATGGAATTTTGAGTTGCGTGTTTGGTTGAGTTGTAAGTTTTTGTATCAAATATCATATATCACATCAAAAATTCTCCACTCAATTCAAAATTATTTTCAAAACTCTTTCACCAAACAAAATTTTCACACGCAAATCATAATTCCAAAGCTCACAAATTCAAAATACAACTCCTACTCTGAAATCATATTTAGAAAGCTCTACCAAACGCAACCTCAATTTTCCCAAGAAAATCAAATTAAGGATATTAATGCAACAAAGCTCACTCTAAATATTCATCCAAAAAAAAGTTCACTCTAAATGGTTAGCAACAAAGTCCAAAACAAAGAATAATAAAAATAAATAAATAAAAAGAAAAACTGAAAAGAAAAGCAAGAAGACAAATACAAATCTGAATAAAAGAGCTCTAATATGATCTAAACAACAATGCTAGGAATATAGATGTATAAAAACAAACCTAAAATAGAATTGTAAACAAACAGCAAATCAAAATCAAATTGGAAAACGAAGGCACTTAAGGATCTTATCACAGCTTGAGTTGAAGATAGAAATATTTCTAGAGATCTATTAGTTCGTATAATGGGAAAACGAAAAAACCAAAAAAAGGAAAAGCTCATTATGTAATGAAAGAGGCACAAAAATAGTGAAAGTAAAAATTGGAAAACTTAGACGACAAAAATTAGACTTTGATGAGGCGGTAGCTAGGAGGAAGGGGCAAAGCTGAGGAAGGAGTTAGAATGTAAAATGAAGGAATTTAAGGTTGGGATTTAGGAGGAAGAAGAAGAAGAAGAAAGATAAATTTTATATACACTAAATAATCATCGTGCCTCAACTTTACTTTAGCATAATATATATACAATCCTTAGCATAGTAATATGACCATCGTACCCTCAACTTAAATAAATATTAACAAGAGAACAAAAGAACAAAAATAAGTATTCTAACACTCCCCCTAAAGCAGGAGCATAGAGATCGAATAGGCCCAGCTTGATGGATAAACGATGAAACAAAGGCCGAGCCAAAGGCTTGGTTAGAATATCACCCAATTGATCAACAAAACAAACATAAGGAGTCACAAGTTGCTTGCAGAGTAAGCGATCATGAATAAAATGGCAATCAACTTCGATATGTTTGGTGTGTTCATGAAACACAGAATTATTGACAATGAAGATAGCAACCTGATTGTCACAAGACATGCTGATAGTAGTGGGAACAGAAAAGCCAAAATCTTGGAGAAGAGACTAAACCCAGAGCATCTCAAAAGCAGTATAACCCATGGCAAAATACTCAGCCTCAGCACTAGAATGAGCAACAGCAATTTGTTTCTTGCTACGCCAAGTAACAAGATTACCACCAACAAAAGTACAATAGCCTGAGGTAGAATGACGGTCAGTCTTATTACCAGCCTAATCAACATCACTGAAGCCAGTGATAGACAAAGAGGAAGATGAGTGATAGAGTAAACCCCGACCTGGAGTACGCTTCAAGTATTGCAAGATACGACACACAGCCACAAATTGGGATTGGCGGAGAGCATGTATAAACTGACTGACCACATCCACCGCATAAGTAATAGCTTGACGAATGACAGTGAGATATATTAACTTCCCAACCAACCGACGACAACGACCAATATCGGGAAATAGGTCTCCAGTGTCACTATCAAGCTTGACACTAGAATCCATGGGAGTATCACCGGGGTGAGTGCCTAAGAGGCCAGTCTCAGTAAGAAGATCAAGAACATACTTCCGTTGAGAAAGAAACAAGCCTTAAGAAGAGCCTACAACTTCAATCCCAAGAAAATACCGACGATGACCCAAGTCTTTGGTGTGAAATTGTTGTCCCAAATACTATTTCAAATTAGCAATACCATTGGAGTCACTCCCTGAAATGATGATATTATCCATATAGACAGTAAGAACAATACTCCTAATAGACGAGTGGCGAACAAAAACAGAGTGATCAAAGGTGGAACAGTGAAATCCATAGGCAAGCATAACAGCACTGAAGTAATCAAACCAGGTACGCGGGGACTGCTTAAGACCATAAAAGGCCTTTCGCAATTGACAAACAAGATGCTCTTGGTTGAGAACAACATACCCAGGGGGCAGATCCATATAAACCAAATTTGAGCAATTTTTGCCAAGAATAAATGAGTAAGGCAAAATGTGCTTCTGTGGTGAAACAAAAATGACAACTGCTACTGCCCCTTCCTTCCTGGCAGCCCAATCAAAGAACATCATCCAAGGCTGTAAAAGTTCTATGAACAATACATCTTTGTCAGGAAATTCCTCATAAATTTCCCAATCAGCAGGGATGGGATGGTCGGCCAAGAAGCTGCAAGGGCCTGCCCTTTCACCGTTTTCTTGGCGCGTAAATGATCTCAAATTCATTAAAGAGGAGAGACCATCTTGCTAAGCGTCCTGAGAGGATGGGCTTAGACATAACATACTTTATTGGGTCGGCTCTTGCAATGAGATTGTAGACGTCCCCGAACGTCCCGGGAGGGAAATCCCGTTTTGTTCATTTGAGGCTCACTACAATTCAGGACTCAAAGTCACGGTCTTGTATCTAATCTCGCAGAATACAATACAAGACCGATGAATCGTCAAAGAGTCCAAATCCGGCAAATCGTTTTTGAAAACAGATTTTTTTTGAAAGAAGTGCCAAACATGGATTGCTTTGCCAGATACAGAGTCGCCACCTAAAAAATTAGACTTTGATGAGGCGGTAGCTAGGAGGAAGGGGCAAAGCTGAGGAAGGAGTTAGAATGTAAAATGAAGGAATTTAAGGTTGGGATTTAGGAGGAAGAAGAAGAAGAAGAAAGATAAATTTTATATACACTAAATAATCATCGTGCCTCAACTTTACTTTAGCATAATATATATACAATCCTTAGCATAGTAATATGACCATCGTACCCTCAACTTAAATAAATATTAACAAGAGAACAAAAGAACAAAAATAAGTATTCTAACACTCCCCCTAAAGCTGGAGCATAGAGATCGAATAGGCCCAGCTTGATGGATAAACGATGAAACAAAGGCCGAGCCAAAGGCTTGGTTAGAATATCACCCAATTGCTTGGGACTAAAAAACACTACGATGTCAACACTTTAAATTCTTTATTTTCGATGGGCATGACAAATCTAGTAGTCAATGGCAAACTTGATATTACACCTATTACTACATTCCTAAGTATGTATCTGTGTCGGAATTAAGAAAAGACAACAAAGTTGCATTTAGAATTTGAACATGAGGAGCTTTCAACATAATTTGTTTCTTCATAAATAAGCAGACTTTGTTAAAAGTATCAAGATGATGCAAAGAATAGTAGCATGTATTCAAGTTAGATTTGAAATACTATACAGTTAGTATGATGCGCCGAGCCCGGTGCATACAATACAGATGAATGAATGCACGCATGCATAGCATAAGGTATGCTAATTGAAATATGACCTAAATCTAACCATTATAAGCGGTTAAATAAAAGGGAGAAAGAAATGGGATTGGAAGACATGCACACATGTACCCACACTTATTACAATTGTGCCCTCGCTCCGAGGGTCCGAATGAATACTACAAGTCACCTAATTAACTAACTCACAAGCTAATTAATTATTACAGAACCGAATTGAATAACTAGCTACAACTAATTATTACACAACTTATTCAATTAACAAATTAATTAACTATCAAATGAAAGACAACAAACAAATAGGGAAAGCAGTAAACGATGCTGTTCCAGCTCTGTTTGAAGAAGGGAGGCATGCATGCTCGCTTCGGTTCCTTGCTTTGGAAGGCCTTCCGGTTGCTCTTTAGAGGCTCTGTTTGCAGGGTGTCTTCCAGTGCTTGTTGTTGGACCTTACCAAAACACTGCAGGGGAAGTCACCAGTGGCCTGCCGGCCAGGAAAGGAGATCTGCCGGCCAAAGATGGTCCATTGCTGGCCAAGGGTGGCACACTGCCGGCCATCAATGGCAGGCTGCCAGCCACTGGTGTGCTGTGACACCAAACTGCAACGAAGCACAAAATAGAGAAAATGGAGGGTTTCCCAAGGACATGTACGCACCATGGCACTCCAAATCACCTTAAAACATTAAGGGAGAGGCCTAGTCAGATCCACGACCATCAATCACGCATCCCGATGCATGATGGCCAAAGATCCAACTTGTACAAATCAATATGAAAATGAATACACAAATAAAGCAAGTAAAGCCTAGAACTCTATCATGAATCATCAAGAGCTTCGGCGATCGAGAATTGAGACACGTTCCATCACTTGAAGTATGAAATGCCCCTCGTTCCTCATGCTCGGATTAACACTTAATCCAAGCAATGCAACACATAAGCATGACAAACATGCAACATGACCTAAATGTGCAAACATGCAACTAAACCAAGCATGCAACAAGCATATAAGCATGATGTGAGGTGATGACCTTGGACAACATGACAAAATGCAACATGAACATGTGAGCATGCAAGGTATGCGAAGCTAAACAAGTATGCGACAACATACGAAATGAAACAAGCATGCGACAACATGGTAAGATGGGCTTACACCAAACATGGATGGCTCTCAACTAGGTCCAAATCAGTAGCCAAAGCGATGAATTAAGCCATACAACACACTCAAGCATGCGAAATGCGAAAGGTTCATCAAAGGGGCCTAAAAGGGCAACTCTCAAAAGTGCATAAGAAGTGACAAATGTGCAAGTGCAACAACACTATATGCACTGAAATGAGATGATAAATGATGCCAAATTATTTAAATAGCTCAAGGATAGCATACGTGAATCACCGAAACATGAAGCTTGCAAGGCCAATTACACTACAGCTATACGAAGCATGAAGGATATGGCAAGGGCAACCCAAAACAGTCCTAGTACATGTTGATATGAGATTAAAACATGCAAGGAAGTAAGCCAAAGCAAGCTAGCATACAATGCTAAAACATAGGACATGCAAGGCTACAAAAGAGGCAATGCACTGCACCTATTAGAACCAATCATGGCATGACTTGGACAACCAAAACAAAGTTACATCATGGTATATTAGGACCCAAAATGCACTGAAATGGTGAGCCAAAGGCTTAGGCTTAATGGCATGCACAAAAGCTCATTCTTGAGGCATAAAGCACAAGCTATACAAAGCATTCAAGACATGTCAAATGCAAGTGTATGGCAACATTTCATGGACTGAAATAGCATGTGGAATGAGGGCAAGGCATGCAAACATCACATGTATGGCATGGTAGGGGCCTCAAAACCCATGACTAGCCTAAGCATTTGCACTATAGCTATACAAAGCATGAGTGGTATGGACATGGAAGCCTAAAACAGTCCTAGAGCACTTCAAAATAATTATAAAATCAAGTTTGAGCAAAGCCAAAAGATGCTAGTATGATGAGTCAAAACATCATGCACAAAGGGCTAATAAACATGATTTATTCTACACCTATATGGAGCATGCAAAGGATGATCGAACCAACTATGGATAAGGTCATATCATGCCAAATGATGACCAAATACATGCTGAAATGCAAACCAAACAAGCTAAAATGACATGGCAAAGCATGGGGCATATAAAGCTAGTTTAGGAGATTTACACTACAAGTGCATCATGCAAGCATGGAGTAACAAAACTAACCCAAAAAAGGTTCATGGCATGGTAAAACATCACCAAAAATGGACTGAAATGGACTCAACAAAAGCCAAGCATACATGCTACTTTGATGAGCTATGGATGGAGTTACACTACGCATACTATATGCATGCAAAATATGGCCAAACCAGCCATGGACAGGGCCAAGGAAGGTCCTAGAAGTCACAAAAATAGGCCTGAACCATGCCTCAAAAATGCATAGAGGGATGGTCCTTTGGAAGGCCAAAAATGCAAGTAAAGAGGAACACAAAGAGAGGGGACTACCCCCTCTGATTTAGGACCTAAAAACCATACCTCTACCACTGAAAATCCACTGGATTTTAGTGTTAGGAAGGCCATACCAAGGCTAGCTCGGAGGCCTCAAGATATGGCTTAAAACAAAGCCAAACAAAGCATGCAAGGGGGCTACACACCCCAAATAGCAAAATGACCTTAACCAAACTTAAAAAGTACTTAAAAAAAAGACTTTTTTCAGTTATAATCAAAGCCTAAATCAATATGCAAAGAGGGCTAAAGCAAGGTACAAGAAAGTGCAAAAATGGGGGAAATGCTCACCCTTGAAGACCCTCTTCGAAACCAGCAATTTCAGGGGGTGGAAGCTTGCTTTCAGAGCTCAAGAAGACCTCCCAAGAAGCTTGGTTCAATGGTGGTGGTCTATATCTAGGTGTTGTAGTGTAAAAGTGTAAGGAAATCCAACTTCAAAGCACAAAACGCACACAATATAGAGAGAAAGAGAAGTTTTTTCTCTTCAAAAGTTCAGAACCCTGTCTAAGGAAGAAGCCTCTTCCTTATATAGAGAAATGAAAAGGCAAAGCTTCAAGAAGCTTTGTAAGGCCTTCATCCCTCCATACACGTGTATGGATAGGAGCAAATGAAAATCCAGCTGGCTCAAAAGATCTGGAGGAAAACCAGCTGAGATAGGGGGGTGCCAGCCATTCGCAATGGCCGGCAGTGGCTCATTGATGGCTGGCAGGGCCTCATCAATGGCTGGTAGGAACAAGTCCATGGCCGGCAGTGCACC